AAAAATAAAAATAAAATAGTGACCAAGCGCTTGCTTTAGCAGCACATATACTAAAATTGGAACAATATAGAAGATTAGCATGGCCCCTGCATGAGGATGATTCGCAAATTCAGGAAGCATTCCATGTTTAAAAAAAAAGAAAGACTGGTGGTGCACACCGAATCCCATCTATTCAGGAGGCTGAGTCAGAGGATCCTAAGTTCAAGGCCAGTCTCCATATTTAGTGAGACCCTGTCTCAAAAAATAAAATGAAAAGGGCCGGGCATGTGGCTCGGTGGCAGAGTACTTGCTTAGCATGTGCAAGCCCTTGGGTTCCATCCCCAGCACTGCCAAAATGAAAAATGACCACAGTGCCCACTTGTAGAACTCTTTTCATCTCAACTTCATCCTTATGTTGGTGACAAAATACTCCCACGCCTCACCTCTGAGCTCACAGGCCTCCTTGCCTTCCTCAAGTTCGTGAGACTCATTCCTGCCTCAGGGCTGGGCTCAGTACTTTCCCGGAAGATCCACGCCTCTTTCTAGTCTTGCTCAACGTGAGATCTCTCCTGGCCCCCCAGAGGTAAAAATCCCCCATTTCCCTCTTGCCCCTCACTTCTTACCCCTCCTTTCCTCTCCTAGCCCTAATCTCAACATTCTATACCATTTACTTACTAATATATCTCCCATATGACCCTGTCATCTCACAAGAGCAAGGATCTGTTGTTTTTGTTCGTTGTTAAATCCCCAACCCAAAGAACAGGCTTGGCCTATTGCAGGTGGGAATATTAATGTTCCTTGAGTGAATGGAAGCGTCATAGCTCCCTGGGAAGTCAGCACTCTTGTTATTGCCACTTTACAAATAAGGAAACTGAGGCTCAGAGATGCCAAGTGACTTGCTCAAGGTCATATAGCCAGAAAGTACCAACTTGAACCCCTGCCTGATGCTTGCTGTTGCCCCATAGGTCAGTCTTGCCCTGTAGACCATGATGGCCTTGCCCCCGTGATTGACAGCCTGCCCCTGGTGCCTGCCCCTTGGCACCTGCCTGCAGCCAACCAGCAGGATGAGGCTATGGAAGGCAGTGGTGGTGACATTGGCCTTCATGAGCATGGACGTCGGTGTGACCACGGCCATCTATGCCTTCAGCCACCTTGACCGCAGCCTGCTGGAGGACATCCGTCACTTCAACATCTTTGACTCGGTGCTGGACCTCTGGGCAGCCTGCCTGTACCGCAGCTGCCTGCTGCTGGGGGCCACCATCGGGGTGGCCAAAAACAGTGCCCTGGGGCCACGGCGGCTGCGGGCCTCGTGGGTTGTCATCACCCTCGTGTGCCTCTTGGTGGGCATCTACGCTATGGTCAAGCTGCTGCTTTTCTCTGAAGTGCGCAGGCCCATCCGGGACCCGTGGTTCTGGGCCCTGTTTGTGTGGACGTACGTCTCGCTGGCCGCCTCCTTCCTGCTCTGGTGGCTGCTGTCCACCGTGAGGCCAGACGCCGAGTCCCTGGAGTCAGGGGCGGCCACCGAGGCTGAGGGCTTCCACAGGGAGGCCCGACCTACAGCCGAGCAGGCATCAGGGGCCACGTTACAGAAGCTGCTGTCCTATACCAAGCCCGATGTGGCCTTCCTCGTGGCTGCCTCCTTCTTCCTCATCATGGCGGCTCTGGGTAAGTGAGGGCCTGGGGTGCAGCCCAGGTCACACAAGGGCTGAGGGCTCAGTGTTTGACCTACCCGGTAGAACTTCCAGGTGCTAAGAGAAGGAAACCAGAATTTCACTCCTACCTAATTCTACTCCTGACTATCCTGATCTTCCTGCCCAGGACTAACTCTGGGGGAATGTTCTAGAAAATTCCAGGGGGCAGGAAACAAGTTCTCACCTTTCTTTTCTTACTCCCAGTGTTTCCCTAGGCAGCAAGCACCTAAAAGCATGTCACCCCTGATCTCTGAGCTCCAGGCTCCGTTCCCTTAATGCATCCTGCATCTCTGCCCTTCAGCTGCATCTTGCAACTGCATCCTAGTCTCCTCATTGTTGGGCTCTTGGGTTATTTGGGGGCTTTTCCTCTCAAAATGAATAACTTTGTTCATACACATTTTGTGAATGTGGCTCTATCTAAAGAATACATTCCGGAAAGTGGGATTGCTGGGCCAAAAGCATTTTTTGGTAACAAAACAAAATAGAATAGAAAACTTAAGGGTACCTTGCCTGAGATAAGATGAAGCATTGTTTTGCAAAATTTTATGTTAGTTACCTCTGCTTATGTGCCACTGTGCCTTGGTTTGAGGTCAACATGCTGCCTCTTGGGTCTAGCCCACTCTAGCACCATGGCGGGGAGGTAGAATGGCAGGTTCCAAATTCTGTGGTTCTGAGGTTCGTAAGGCCTGGGTTCAAACCTCAGCACTGCTCCCTGAATTGCTGTGTGACCTGTTTCAACCTCACTTCTCTCATCTATGGAATGAGGACTAGCAGCATTCTTATTTCAAGGCCTTGAAAAACTTGAATAAAAACAGATAGGACAAAGGCTAAGCACAGGGCTTGGCCATCATGATGAGCACACGGGAATATTGGCTGTTATGACTCTCAGCATTTCAATTCACCAGATCTGAGCCTGGGATAGAGACAAACCCAGAATTAGCTGGGCACAGCAGCTCGTGCCCATAGTCTTAGTGACTTGGCATTCTAAAGCAGGAAGATTGTAAGTTGGAGGTCAGTCTGGGCAATTCAGCAAGACTCTCTCTCTCAATAAAAAAAGGGCTAGGGATGTAACCCAGCCTCTGGGTGCCTCTGGATTCAATCCCCAGCACCAGAAAGAAAAACCAGGACACTCTCCAAGAAGACAGGCCACACTTGGAACTGGCCCGATTCTGTAGCCCCTCCTCTTGCTGCCTGCCCTCCACTGTCTCAGGCTCCTCACAGTGTGTGATGGGCCCCGGCCACAGCCTTCTTGTCTGTCAAAGGGGCAGATAGTCCCATCACTCCTGTGGTAGTGAAGGCCAGTGAGCTGATGGGGGACTGGGACATTCTGGGCACACAGAACACTCGCAGTAATATGTGTGACAAGTGTCAGGGAACCCCTTTCCACTCCACCAGCAGTTTCTCCTGGTCGCACTCCAAGGCCTGGACATCCCTCCTTGAAAAGCCTTCTCAGATCTGTGACCGTGGCTCTTTGCACTCGATTGTATGCTGGTGACATAAGAATTACACACTTTCCTGCCTCCCGCCAGGCCTGACTCACTGGGGTTCCAGTGCCCAGCACAGGGACAAGCTCCCTGAGTCAGTGGGTAAGCGGATGACTATCCTACAGCAGGCAGATGTCACCCCTGTCTGCACCTCATCTCCCCACTCACTGGTACCCTGTGTCAGCTGGTTGTGCTCAGGCAATATAGCGTCCTACAAGACTGCCACACAGATTCTGCCAGCCTGCGGGGTTGCACCAAGGTCAAGGGCTCAGACTTGGGCTCAGGCCCCCCAAATTCAGAGAACTTCAAGAAAGTTCTGATCTCAGATTTCCACACTGAAACGGTGGCTTTTTTTTTTTTTTGTACTGGGGAGTGAATCCAGGGGCACTTAACCACTGAGCCACATCCCCAGTCCTATTTTGTGTTTTATTTAGAGTCGGGTCTCACCGAGTTACTCATGGTCTCACTAAGTTTCTGAGGCTGGCTTTGAATTCAAGATCTTCCTACCTCAGTCTCAGAGGGTGGGCAGATAACAGGAGAGAGCCACCCTGGCCGGCTGAAATGGGGGGGGCCTCTGCTGGAATTAGGTGAGACTCTGGGAACTAGATGAGAGAAAGCACAGTGACTAGCAAGATCATCCAGCAAATGTCAGGAAATTGATCATTATTTTTCAATCGAGGGCATTGAGTCATGCCCAGCTTTTTCTGTATCCTCATAATCTAAAAACAGGAAAAAAGAATAAAACCAAAACCAACCCATCACCCATTGGGAAAAAAGGCTAGTTTGTGTTGAGTATTTCCTATTAAATTGGGATTCCTTTTTTTAATGGGTATTCTAACATTGTTTTGAATTTTTTAAATTGTTTTTATTACGTTATTGGGGATCAAACTCAGGGCCTCACGCATGTTAGACAAGCACTTTACCATTAGGCTCTATCCCACCTATAAACTGGGATTCTTAAATGTGGATTCTTGGCAGTCCAGGTACATAAATGTGGGTAAGTACTTCACCACTCTGAACTCCAGTTTCCTTTTTTTTTTTTTAAAGAGAGAGAGAGATTGAGAATTTTAATATTTATTTTTTAGTTATCGGCGGACACAACACCCTTGTTGGTATGTGGTGCTGAGGATCGAACCCAGGCCACACGCATGCCAGGCGAGAGCGCCACCGCTTGAGCCACATCCCCAGCCCCCAGTTTCCTCTTCTGTGGAAAGAGTACATTTCCATGGGAAAAATAACAATACTAGCCCTGTGGGATCATGGGGTGACATCTGGGACTTAAAGATGGTAAGGGAGCAGATATCTGGGATAAGAATGTCCCACCTGGGCATGGTAGTGCATGCCTATAATCCCAGTGTCTTGGAAGGCTGAGATAGGAGGATTGTGAGTTCAAAGCCAGCCTCAGCAAAAGCAGGGCACTAAGCAACTCAGTGAGACCTTGTCTCTAATAAAATCCAAAATAGGGCTGGAGATGTGGCTCAGGAGTACAGGGGTCAAGTATCCTTGAGTTCAATCCCCGAGACCAAAAAAAAAGTGCTCCAGGCAGAGGGATTAGCTGTGCCCAAGTCCTGGTGGAAGGGTGGCTGCTGGCCCAAGAAATAGCCGGGGCAGAGTGGAGCAGGGTGAGCAAGAGAGAGAAAGTCAGGTTGCTCACCAGGGACCCTATGGTATAGGTTTGTTGTGAGTCACTGCAAGAACTTTGGCTTTGGTGGTGATGCACACCTATAATTCCAGTGGCTTTGGAGGCTGAGGCAGGAGAATGGAAAGTTTGAGGCCAGCCTCAGCAACTTAGGCCCTAAATAACTTACTGAGACTCTGTCTCAAAAAAATAAAAAGGGCTGGGAATGAAGCTCAGTGATAAAGCATCCCTGGATTCAGTCCCTAGTATTAAATTTTAAAAAATTTAAAAACTAGGTGGGGCAGGGGATTTTGGCTTTTACCTTGGCTGAGTTGGGAGCCAGAGGATGGGAACCATCTGAGTCACGTTAGCAGGATGCCACTGTCTACAGAGGAGGACAGGCCCATGGGGGAGGGTGAGGAGCAGCTGTTGAGCTGGTGCAGCAAGATTGGCAACTTGGAGCAAGGTGGAGGCGGTGAGAGCAGTGAGGGCGATGGAACTCTGAAAATATCCCCAAATCAGAGCTGCAGGATTTGGAGTTTCACGTGATTCTCGTGCAGATTCCACAGAGGAAAAGGTAGTTTGCATAATGCCTCACACAGCACCTGGGACCCAGGAAAGTCATCGTTATCATCGATGCTTGTGGTTGGAGCTCACCAATGCCTTTTCTGTGGGTAAACTTGAGTCAGAACTGCAACTCTGAGCACTGAGCAGCTGCGGTTGGAGGCCCCATCTGGCTGAAGACTTTGGGGTCTGAAGCCCATTAGGCCTTCACCTTGTAGTTCTTGCAAAATCCAGCAGAGGGCACTAGAACCACAGGAACTTGGCAGCCAGCTTAAGCAGAGTGGGCCAGGGCTGAGGATCCACACCTGCCCAGACTTCATTCACTGACCTTTATTGATCACCTACTGCATGCCCAGCCTCAACCCTAACTCTGCCTGTGGAAAGAGTATAGTAAAAACAGGTCTTGGGACAAGCAGGGACCCAGCCCAGAGAGGCCATCCACATTCTGTGTCCACCTTTTCCGTGAGAGTGGACATCCCAGGTTACTGGGGGGCAGGTGTCTTAGCAGTTCATTTGTGCTACTGTAACAAAATACCATAGCCTGGTAATTTATGAACAATAGGAATGCCTTTCTCACCACTCAGAGAAGTCCGAGATCAAGGCTCCAGCAGGCTTTACATCTGGTGAGGAGACATCTCTGTGTCTCCCAGATAGAGTCACATTGCTGCTTCTCCAAAGGAGGGATACTGTCCTCTTATGGAAGAAGGCAGAAGGGCCCCAATCCCATCCGTGAGGACTTCAAGGCCCCAGCCCGTAATGCTGTCATATTAGTGATTAAATTCAACTTTGAATTTTGGGGGACACATTCAGAACCTAGCAGGAAGGGACAACGGAAGACGCCCTGTATTGGAGGTTAATTTGAGTCAAGTCTCAGTCTTTCCCCTTACTTCCTATGTGATCTTGAACGAATGACTCAGCCTCTCTGAGGCTCCAGGATTGTCGTGAAGCCACAGGATGACAAGAGGGTGAGAAGTCATCTGGAAAGGTGTGAAGTGCCCACCACGAGGGGTGGGGCAGCAACGATCAGCACTGCATGGAGCCAGAACACCAGCCCCTTCCTGGGTCTTCCCAGGAGAAGAGCATAATCCGAGTTGGCTTCCACCAGCCACTGCCTGCTGGGTGGCTCCTCAGCTGAGAAATGGGTGATGCCATGGCCTGCCGTGAAGGGAAGGGACCATCACCACATGTGCCCTTGGCCACCACCCTCCATGCCTGGTGGCCATTGCTAACATCAACCCAGTCTGTG